GAAATGCACGTTAGCTTATTAACCAGTAAAAGCTCCACAGTTCCGGGCACTGACATTACCAAAGTCCTCGGAAGGTTCATCGAGGCGAACGAATCCAATGGAGCCGCGATGAAACGCATTTCTTCCAAAACAGACAGCGTACTCGGGCTGATTCGAAGAATTGTTAACAGGCACGGTGGAATCAGGCAGGGCAATCTGATTCGCCTTATCCATGCATTTGTTATGTGCCCCTTGGCTTATACGGTGGCTATGCATAACTGGCTCGTGTCGGAGCGCAACAAGATCAAAGCCTTAATCAGAAGATATTTCAAGCCAGCCCTTCACATTCTCATTGTAACACACATGAAAAACCTCCTCAAACTGCGAATCCACAACTCATTCGAAGAAATAGTCGAAGCACAAAAGTTCTCACAGTTTCTCTGAATGTGCGGCACACCAGCAAGTAGAGCTAAACTCGACATGCCGGGACGCTACTCCGCGGTCGAAAGTCCTGATGCCATGAAGCTGTCGAACAAATTAAGGTCCAAGATTTTTGTGAAGCAGAGGCCGCACTGTGTGCATCCAACCTACAATGAAGCATGAATGCGAGACAGGGGTAAAGCTCGCCAGTGCCCACTTGAAGAAGGAACGAGCCTGCTTAGTAGATACCGCTTCACATGCTAGAAAAATCGTTGTATTCAGTGGTCATTGACTGTGATTTTAATGATATCAGCAGCGCTATCATCCACACTTTCAGCTCCAGCGTGTCTGAGCAGGTTGTCATTGATCCAGGATTGATGGATATTGTGCGCGACGCAATTTATCCAGACTCCAAAGCTGTTATCAAGGTATTTCAAATACGTAGAGTGGTTCTCCAGAATCTACAGACACTTAACAAAGCCAAATAGCTCAAACCTCACTCAGTGGTCTGGTTTCCTACACATTTTTGAACCATAGAGGAAGCCTTGAGCAATCCAAACGCAGAGGTGCACTCGGCTGCACAAAGTTTCACTGACCGTGTGCCAGGTGATTCGGCATCTCCTGGGTGAACCGAGACTCTCCACACGTGCAACGAGATATGCAAGCACCACTACTTTTCAAGAGCAGAGCTGACCCTTCCACATTCTTTGCTGTGCAGGGCCTAAGCTGTCGCTCACAGATGGCTCCAAACAAGCGCCTACCCAAGTCCTGCGGCACTGCATATAATGTACCTCAGACGGTGCTCAAGCCCGGATTGCCCCTTGTGTGGTGGTTAAGCGGACTTCGAGAATGTACTGTGGCACTGTGTCTTTGCTGGTCTCCTTTCCACCAAGAAGAAATGAACAAGCTTGCTTAAGGCCCAGGACCTCACTTCTCAAATCCTGGCCATAGAGAGGGCCCGCGTGAGAGCTGTCAGGTTTAACCTGACCATCCCCGAGTGGGCCTAGCCAGCTGACGTCGAGTCAAATCGCGCCTGTTGGGGACAAAATAATGTGGACTCACTCACTGTCTGAAAGACTGCCGGAAAGCTTTCGTCATTATAAACTAGTAGGTGGCACAGAAATTCGGCAAACCAACTTTCACTGAAAAATAAAAAGGCAACTGTGAGCCCAACCAAGGGCTACAAAGCCAAGCCGGGAGCCGAAAGGCTGGAATATGTGCAATGAGAACACTAGAAAATGACAAAGGCAACGACTGCTGCAAGACCCAAAGCGACGGAAGGCTTACGCCGAAGACAACGTTCCCGCGTCGTGTCTGTGTTTGTATGTAGTCCCGCACCTCTCTCCGCTTACAGTCAACGTTGAAACAACATCGCATCACCTAGAATTGCCTAGCAACAATCTAGAAGCAACCAGATTAGTCTTCAGAATCCCTCAATTATTTCGTTCTTGAGGTTGATGTTTGCGGGGCTAGCTCGCTGCAAGTTTCGCCTATATCAGTTTCTGTTTCCGTCGGGAGGTATTGCGTGGGTGCATTGTATATGCATTTTAAATTCTTCTTTAGTGCACTACATTGAAATCCCGTAGCATGTAATGACATGGGAACAAGTCGTCTCTGTATGTCGATAGCGTTCCCCCGTCCATGCTTTTGACATAGTTTCATGTCGGTCGTAGTCCTTACATTTCAGCGCACACCGTTTGAACCATTTGCGATTCTCTCGGCCTTCCATGACACTACAGCAAATGCTATGGTCTACAAAAAATAATATATGTCTCAGTAAGATCACTTATCATGATTCATTGATGAAATAGTCATTCTCGGTTCGCGTTATTGAATGACTTAAGCGCTATTAAATATGGGCTTAGCTCTCCGCCTATCATGATGCATATACGCGCTGTCATTGCAGAAATGCAGACGTCACATTAAGGGCTTTCTTAGACACATTTATGTAAATCCAGTAACCAACTACGAGCTTGACGAACTTGGGCAGCAGACGACTTGCGCATAATATGTAGTCACAGTGCAACCATAGCTAACAATATTCGCGGATTCGATCTACTGCTGTGGTTTTTATATGCGAGTCGCGGGTCCACGAGGTCATTTTGGGTACGTGAACACTGTCTTCGAAATAATAGCATCATGTTTTCACCGCTAGATCGAAGCACTCAGTGCGATAGCAACAAATACTATTTTCATACAAAGTAACGCTGAGAGTTCTCCCTTCTAAGTCTTGTCTGGCTCCACTCCTGAAAAGAAAACAAAACGCCGCGGCTGGAGTTTAATGTCGCACCGGGGAGTGAAATGGTTATTGCACCATCTCTGCTAACTCACAGCGCAGCGCGTAGAAAGGTATACGAGCCGTCTGCCGATGCCTACTGAGATAGCGCACACGCCATTCATCGTGACGGCGCCCTTACAATTAAAGTTCACAGTTTGTGCTCGAGCGACACATCATCCCCCTGCTCAACGCTTCTTCGTGCGCTTCTTTCAAGGCGGGCTGGTCGTTTCGTCATCGCTTGAGCATAAATTAACAAGAGGCCTCGCACGTGGGATGATGTTATCGCATGCGCCCTCCGTGCGAAGGAGATGGGTGTTTCATCTTCGCTTCAGCAACTTTCATTGCCCCTTCTTGCTTGTATTTAGTCGCGGGTTCAACATAACATGCACGGGGGATGTTAATAATTTAGAATTTTTACGAAACATTACGAAACATGTCGAGGGGTTCAAGTATTCCCTATCAAAATAAATATGTTTTTCGGAGGTAAAAAATATATCATGACAGTGGCCCCTTTTGAAAATTTGTGAACTTTACTGCCTAATAGTTTTGCTTTGCGGTGTAGCGGGCTTATCCTTTCTCTGTCTAGAAATGGTTGTAAACATAAGGGTGAGAATAGTGAATTTCAGCACCGAATCTAATACGAATCGTATAGTACTGACACCGACTTAAATATCAATGCGCATCAAAAATTATTGCTATAGTTTCTTACTAGTAAGGTAGTCATTTTCAAAGCAGTGCTGTATCGGTAATGTGGCAATTTAAGGAGGAGCGCAAGAAGTTCTCAGCATTTTATTTGAAAACAGAATACTGAAAAGCTCCAACAAAGGAACATTACGACTAATTTAATCGAAATAAAGTACTACAATTACTTAAACTCAACAGCAACTAGAACCTTCGAAATGTTTTTTTTAACTGCATGCTGCCATATGATAGTGACTACAGTACTCGAGGCGGTATACTTTGTTAACAGCTTCTAAATAACACTGACACTTAAATACTAATTTACTAACGTGAGAGGTGAGAGCATATTCCTCAATGTCATAGTGAAGACAGCTGATTTCTCCACCCTGCGGCTTCGATGGCACTGATTTTTTAAGCAGATGAATATGACATCGATAGCTCGATAAGCATATAAGCTGCATACAGGCGGGCGAATTGACGATGAAAACAGGAAAAGTTACCCCTGGTTGTTTACATGTCCTATTCTTTCGAACATTTTTCGCCGTTGCAGTTTATATGAATATTACTCAGAAGATATACCGTATTTCGAATATTTCTGATTATTTACTATTTCATTTGAGTACTGTATCGAATACAGCGTTAATCGGCTCGTTATTCTAATGTTTCCCATATTTACACACCCCTACTGTAAATATTTTATTGGTGTTCTTCTGTCACATGTACACGCGAGTGTACGTTTTCTAGGCTTGCCTATTTGACGAGCAAACCTAGAAACAAGCTGAATGTGGCTGTACAACACACCAACACTTCAGACTGAATCGCCGAGGCACTTTAGTTTGAACGTTCTTTCCACGGAGGAATAAGAGGCAACTAGTTCGCTCGATATGTTGCGACAATTTATAACTACCACCACCATTTTTTTTTCTAGCTGCAAGGTGTCCGTCACTACGTCCACGAGTCGACATGGGGTCCCCGAAGCAACCATGGCTCAAAACAAGTAGAGTGGCTACTAATTTCTTCGGAGATAACTACTGCGTATCTTTGCATGTTTACAACCTTGTGTATACACAAGAATAGTTATATATATTCTAATGGTTGTTTCTATCTCAATGTGGTAGTATTATCCCCTATTGGGTATAGCAGGGGCCTCTAACACGAGGCCTGCGTATTTGTCAATAGCATAACGGGACCCGCACATGGCTGTTTTTGGTTTATATAATTTTGCATAAAATTATAGTTATGAGTTAGACTTGCATGGCTGGTCTCAAGTATTGGTTTTTCATGGGGCATAATATGTTGCCCCGAAATTTTAAAAGATAATTGGTCGACAAAATCGCTATACTTCACAATCGGTGCCCAAATATTTGTCATTATGGATAGCAGTACCGAATCAACCGACTGCCTCAATACCTATACAAATTCTATTTAGAAGTTACACATGTATGCATTACGGAAAAATCCGCTTTTCTCGTGGCAATCTTAGATGAAATTTTGTATGAACTAAAGCCCTCCTGCTTCCACCTTCTTCACTGTCAAGGGGCACACGAGGGGCAAAAATGTCGGAACTTCATGCAGGCTGCTCGCTTAGGCGAGTTTGCGACCTCTGGCGTATATAGGAAAAAGGTAACAAAGTGAGACTCACCCAAAAGAAGAGGCTTCGTCAGGAAGGACACTGTGGCGATGCAGGTCACTATCCTGTTGCTCGTGTCTAGTTGCCCTGCACCAACGACATCGCCCATCAGGGAGTTGTGCACGGCGATTGCGTGGCCACTGAAGGCACCGAAGCCAAGACAAGTGGCCAGCATCGCAGGATAGGTTCTAATGAAGGCGATCAGGATGAATCCCACGCCGATGGAAAAATAGTCCACCATCACAAGCGTCGATCTCTTCACGTGACCCTTCTCAGTAAGCAATGGCATTAGGACACGACCGACACAATCCAACACGGACACCGATGGTGCGATAGTGATTGCAAGAATGACGGGTATGCCTTTGCTTAGAATGGTGTCAACAGATATGCTTGCAAAGAGATTGATGACGTAGAAGAAGATGAGGTGCGTCAGTGCAGTCACGTAAAATAAGGGCTTGGTAAACATCGACTCAGGTACAAGTGCTCCGACGTTTTCGGAGTGGCTCAGCTTGCCGGTTCCCTGCTCGACGCTGAATATTTTCTGCACAGTTGCGTTCGGGAGGACGTTGTTGTTTTCTTCGGGGTTTGGTCTGGGCCTGAAATTAATAAGGCAATATTAGAGCAAATAGTTTCTAATTGAAGCCGTATGCCATTATTTTAAATAGGAGTCGAAAAACTCCATTTACGCAGTTTGTTGAGGGCACGAACAACATTGTTTATTCGCTCTCAACCAGAGTCACTTTGCAAAGCGTGGAACGTTTTCCCAACATTTCAGTGTTCCAAGAGTTTATTTGTCTATTTTTCATCTTTTCGCACGTGTTGCACATTCATCAAAGAAATTAAATAGGAATCAAGCTAGCCTATACTAGCTGCGAATCATAATGGGAATACATTATATGGTTAGGCTACTTTTATAACACATTTTTCAGTGCACCAATAGGAATACTTTATATTGTTAGGAAACTTTATAGCAAATACTGCACCATGGTGACATGACTTAGTAAACCATTTGGAATTCGAATTATTGTTACAAAGTGTAGATTGAAATGCCGGTTTGAAAATTAAGAACAAAAAAAAAAAACAAATCACACAGTCATTTCCTGGGACTTAGTTCACTGTGCTCCCGAGTACTGAGTAAATGCTTCTTTCTTAGAGTTTATTACGACGCATTATAATTGACAGATTGCTACTGTGTGTTCACAAGCTGCTAGGCTTGAAAGAAAATGAATACAGTATAGACGAGTGTTACACTTGTAAATTTCCTATCGCTGTGGTTATTATTCAGAATGCCTTAAGTGTTTCATTAGATGGTTACCTCTAAAGTGGAATAAGCGACACAGAAGATAGCGCGTGGTGCATAAATAGCAGTTGCACTCGGTGCATGAGGAGGGAAAGATTGGTTTGATGAGTAATCAGTGATCCATGATCAGTAATGAGACCAACAACAACAACAACAACAACAACAACATTAATAATATTATTAATAAAAATAATAATAAAATAATAATACTAATAATAATAATATAAAAAGAAGAAGAATAGAAGAATTGATAGGGTTAGCTAACTGTTAGCTAACTAGCCATCAGCGGCTCCAGGCCCTGACGGTGTTACCTCGTTCATGTTGAAACTGATGCATAAAGAGTGCCAAGAATACCTATCGGATATAATCAACTATTCTTTAAGTACGGCATGGCTCCCATTTGAGTGGAAAATAGTAAAGGTATTGCCAATACTGAAAGCTCCGGGTAAAGGATACGTTTTGGATAACATTAGGCCCATCACGTTAACCTCAAACTTTGTAAAGGTAATTGAAAGAATCCTGAACGTTCGAATAACAAATTTCATCAATGAGAGAGAAATTCTGAATCCATCCCAAATTGGCTTCAGATCCGGATGCTTCATATGGCAGGCCCATATAGACCTTGAAAGTCGCATAAGGTAGCTAAGCGGGAAGGAATATATGCTGCGCTCGTCACTCTCGATATAGCAAAAGCGTACGACAGCGTTGAGCATATTGTGTTAATCAACCAGCTGCACAACCTTAACTTCCCCAACTATATACAATAATGGATAGCAGAATTTTTACGCAATAGAACGTTTTATTGTTACAAAAACGGCATCTCGTCTTCTAAATATGTGCCAACAAGAGGTGTCCCGCAAGGGGCCGTCTTTTTCCCGGTGTTGTTCAATATCTTGGTGAGCTCTGTACCTCGGCACCAGGACGTCCACACTTATGTATATGCGGACGACATCGCATTCTTTTCAGCAGCAGAGGACATTCATAGGCTATTTAAAATATTACAGACATGCCTATCAGCCATAGAAATGTGGCTTGATAGCTTACATCAGTATTTAAATGTCAAGAAATGTTCTGTTTTAATAGTGCCACAAGGCAGTAGTGGGATTGGGGCATAAAGCGGTAGAGGGTCCCTGGCTAAAAGAGAAGACTACGAAGTGGATATAGACTGGTTCCAGCCCGCCAGTGCGCCAGGCATTGTCATCGCGTGTAATCGTTGTAAATATCTGTAAATATACGTTTTCTTGTAAGATTATTGGTGGAGGTGCGGGGTACGCCTACCTGGCTTTTCCGGCAAACCAACACGGAACTTCGGAGTGGTCGCCACCTTCATTTTTCTGCAATGGCTCAACAGGCCCACCCACAAGAGCAACAGCAGCCGCAGCTGCAGCCGCAGCTGCAGCAGCAGCAGCAGCAGCAGCACCAGCACCAGCACCAGCACCAGCAGCAGCAGCTGCCTCCTCTGATTCTCCTGCCTCCACGAGACCCCGGAACCTTCTCGGGCACAGGCAAGGACAAGGTGAATGTTGAAGATTGGGTCGCTTTGTACGAACGCGTGAGCGAATACTATAGGTGGGACCCTACGTTAATGCTGGCCAACGTTGTATTTTACTTGCGGGATACGGCGCTGACCTGGTATGAGACGCATGAGTCGGAGTTGACCAGCTGGGACGTTTGCAAACTGAAGCTTCTCGAGTTATTCAGCAGGCCATTTGGGCGACAGCAGGCCGCGAGGAAAGACCTGGAATGTCGCGTGCAGACATCGACAGAATCGTATGTATCTTACATACAGGACGTATTGGGCCTCTGTCGAAAGGTGGACGAGAACATGAGCGAAACTGACAAAATCGCTCACATATTGAAGGGAATTGCCGATGACGCGTTCAATCTGTTGATCGTTAAAGATTGCGCCACCGTCGACGCGGTTGTGAAGGAGTGTCAGCGCTTCGAGCACGCCAAGAACCGTCGCATAACCCGCCAGTTTGCGCGTCTGCCTAATACTGCAGCCACTTCGACCTGTGAAGACAGCCCCAAGTTCACGCAGGCTACATCGTCCGAAAATGTCACCCGAATCGTTCGTCGCGAACTCGAAGCAATGGCTCCTGCAGCCATCGCCTCTGACGGTCCTCAAGACAACGCATCCACTGTCTCCCTCATCCAAGCCGTCGTTCGCCAAGAAATAGCAAATCTCGGCATCACACCTGTTTGCGCTGTTCGCACCACCGAGAGCTCGGCTTCTGTTAACCAGATTCCGGTGTATCCTTCACGCTACCCTTCCCGCTACCGGAACCCTGCTGAATGGAGAACGTCGGATGATAGACCAATCTGCTTTCACTGCTCTCGCGCCGGCCACATTGCACGCTACTGTCGCAATCGTTGGTCATCCAATTCATCTTGGAACACTGGGACATGGCGTCGCTTTGAAGGCAGTTCTCGCCGCTTTTCTACTCCGTACGATCCACAGCCTGCTCCTACTAACGTTCAGGGCCGAAGGTTCAGCCGGTCGCCATCACCCCAAGGCCGCCGATCTCTCTCGCCGATGATTTCTCGATCCAGGTCCCCTGCACGACCTGGGCCCTCAACCTCGGGAAACTAGACCATGCAGCTCCCGGAGGTGACGCTGCATTAACGACCCATTCTGCAAATCCTCTGTTGACGATTCCTACACGCCGCAATATTTTGGACCTTTTGGTGGATGACGTTACCGTTACAGCCCTGATAGACACTGGTGCACAAATTTCAGTCATGAGCGCTGCTCTCTGTACTAAACTGCGAAAAGTGATCACGCCTCTTATTAAGTGTGCAGTAATGCTTGCCGATGGGAGCACATCTGCCGTTCTCGGCATGTGTACCTCTCGCGTGTGTATTACTGGGCGCCAGACCGTCGTATTGTTCACCGTGCTTGAGCAGTGCCCACATGACGTGATTCTTGGCCTCGACTTGCAAACTCTGCGCACTCCGCCCTTATCGACTGCTCGACAGGTCTTCTTCAGTTGGAACTGCCTTTTGACGCCGCTGTTGCCCATGACGCTCAAAGTCGCCTTTGTGCCACCGAGTTCCTGCATCTTCCGCCGCAAGCCGCGACTTACGTGCAGCTCGTGTGTGATCCGCCTGTGCGCGATGGTGAATATGTCGTTTCACCTATTACCGACGTTGTGCTAAAGCACTCCATTGCTGTCCCGCACACCGTGGTGAGAGTATGCCACAATCAGACCCATCTGTCTCTTTTGAACTTTGGTTTCTCCACGCATGTGCTGCCTGCTGGTATTAAAGTAGGCGTCATGTCGTCGCTGCAAGAGTGTGATATTTCTGAACTGTCGGCTCAGCAACCTACTCCGCATGTCAACTTAATCACTGCGCCCAACCTGTCAAGCATTGACATTGCCAAAATGATAGCGCCAGATCTTTCGCCCTCCGAAGCACAAGACCTCCACCGTCTGTTGACATCCTATGCGGACATATTCGATCTTGACAACCGCCCTTTAGGCCAGACATCAGTTGTGACCCATCACATCAACACCGGCGATGCCAACCCAATTCATCGCCGCCCTTACCGCGTCTCCGCCGCCGAACGCTCTGTCATCCAGAAAGAGGTCGAGAAAATGCTCGCCAAAGGCGTCGTCGAACACTCATCTAGTCCGTGGGCATCCCCGGTAGTGCTTGTCAAGAAGAAGGACAACACATGGCGGTTTTGCGTCGACTATAGACATCTCAACAAGGTCACTAAGAAGGACGTTTACCCTTTACCAAGAATAGATGACGCCCTTGACTGCCTTCATGGCGCAAAGTTTTTCTCGTCCATTGACCTTCGATCTGGTTATTGGCAGATCGCTGTTGACCCACGGGACCGAGAAAAAACAGCATTTGTAACCCCCGATGGGTTATATCAATTTAAAGTAATGCCGTTTGGGCTTTGTAATGCGCCGGCCACCTTTGAGCGCATGATGGACTCCCTTCTGCGCGGCTTCAAATGGTCCACTTGCTTATGCTACTTGGATGATATAATTGTTTTTTCACCGACGTTCGCAAGCCATCTAGAGCGACTGTCCAGTATTCTCCAAGTATTTCGCAACGCTGGTCTCCAGCTGAACTCTTCCAAATGCCGTTTCGGCCGTCGCGAAATAACTGTACTTGGTCACCTCGTTAACGCATCTGGGGTACAGCCCGATCCGGACAAAATTCGCGCATTGACTCAATTTCCCGTGCCCTCTTCTCATAAGGATGTCCGGAGCTTCCTTGGTTTGTGCTCCTATTTTCTCCGCTTCATCCGAAATTTCGCCGATATTGCGCGGCCTCTCA